TGTAGCTCAAGTGGTAGAGCGCTCGCCTTGAGCTGAAGAGCTGAGGGACAGCGCCCAGGCCCAGAGTTCAAGCCCCACGACCGACAAAAAAAAAAAAATTAAAAAAACAAATGCAAAAAAGGGTTGTAGGCTTGGCTCAGTGGTAGAGGGTCTTACTGGTGAGCAAAATGAGTTCAAACCCCAGTTACCGAAAAAAAAAAATTGTAATGGTGAACTACTAGACATGGCCTTCAGAAGTTTTCCCATTCTTCAGAAAGAATGTACATTTAAAAAAAATCTAGGCTGCGGATGTGGCTCAGCAGTAGAGTACTTGCTAATAAGTATAAGGCTGAGTTCAAACCCCAGACCCACCAAAAGAAAAGAAAATCTAGAATTTTCCAATAAATGTAGATACATATTTGACTACTATAAACATTTTCTCATATTATTTACTGGCACTACTGGGATTTAAACTCAGGGCCTTTTGTATCCTAAATAATCATTCTACCACTTGAGCCATACAACTTTGATTGCTATAAATACAAAGCGAGGAAGCCATGATCTCAGACCTTGGCATAATAAAAAAGGCATAAAAGGTATACAACTAGATAATATTCCTTCAATATGGTCAGTTCTGAAGGAATCTGATTATAACGTTTGGAGAAAAAAATTGTTTTAAAGAAAAGTTGATGAATCATTGTATGAATCATGATTTGCTTCTAAATTAAAATGGCATCAAGTCTTGTGCTAATATTCTTTGGAGATATTTTCAAGTGAGCACACTGGTATATTGATCAACACAAAAGGCATTTCCTCCAGCATGATCTTTCTCTAGATGAACTTCCCATGTAGGATGAAGCCAACCCACATATGATCTTATCAGACTTCTGAATTTTTGCTAAGTGAATGCGTGTAAAATACTGTCTCACTAGTCACAACATGAATTTCCCTGAGTACAAATCAAGTAGATCATCTTCTCACATGTTTAAGTGCTGTTCATATTTTCTCTTCTTAGTGAAATGTCAATTTTTCTATGGGAATAATTTAACTTTTTTTGCTTTTGTAAGACACTTCACAGTTTTTTGTACCTACCAGATACTATTCTGTTTAGCTATGCCTGTTACCAGTATATTCTCCTAATTTATTGTTCCTCTTTTCATTTTTAGAAGCTTTTTTTTAAAAGGAGGAGGTTTTCATTTCAATATAGTCATAGTTTCAATTAGCCTTTGTTTGGTTAAAAAGTTTTACTTAGCTGAGTGCAGGTGGCCCATGCCAGTCATTCTAGTTAGTTGGAAAGCTGAGATGAGTTCAGCTTCAAGGCCAACCTAGGCAAAAAAGATTGCACGAGCATTGCCCAACACAGTAGTTCACACCAGTCATCCCAAACTAATGTGGGAGGGTAAGGCTGGTAGGATTGTGATTCCAGGCAGAAAAGACTGCATCTGTACAGATGGAAGCTGGATGCAATGGCATGTGCCTGTTATACCAGCATTGAAAGGAAGCCTAAAGTAAGCAGATCTGAGTCCAGACACACACCCTGATAGGAAGCAAGACTCTACCCTTAAAATAACAAATGAAAAACAGGGCTAGAAGTGTGGCTCAACTACGCTCGCAAGCTTAAAGCCCTGAGTTCCAACCCGAGTATTTCCAGGAAAAAAACTTAAGTGTTACCACCTACAGCTCATATTCGCCAATATTTTCTTGATTTTGTTTTTGTTTTTGTGTTGATCTATTTAAAAATCTCTAAACCACTGGGAACTTATCTTTGTTTACACAGTGATTTAATTTCTTTTCCCTCATTTTGATAACCAATTATCCCACATCAAAACTTGAACTGACATCGCCCCCCCGGCGATCTCCCATCCAGCTCAGTCAAGTTCTTGCATGTAACTATATCTTCGGCAATCTCTATCTTGCTCCAAGAGTCTATTTGTTCCTATACCAATAGAACACGTTTGAAATTACTATTTTCTTTTTTCAACTGCTTAATTCAAATCTCTCATGTTCTTTTCCTTCAGCTTTTAGAGTGTCTTATTTATGACTAGTATCTGATTTATCTACATAAATTTTAGAATCAGTTTTTTGTGCGGGAGTTATCAAAATATTCTGCTGAGATTTTGATTGGAATAGCTTGGGTTTAAAGACATTTTTTGAAAAGATTAGATCACTGTATAAAATCAAATTTTCCTCACCATAAATGGAAATATCTTCCCATGTAACTGGTTCTGCTTTAATCTTGCTAATATAAAAAGTGATAGTTAAGTGATATTTTCTGTTTATTGTTGGTATATAAGAAGGCAACTGATGCTTCTTGATATTTATCTCACCCTTTGATAAACATTATTATATCTGATAATAAGATATATAATAATAATAATAATGGCCAGCCCAACTTTGGATATTCTAGGATGGCAATCTTATCAGGTGTCAATTAATAATGATTTGGGTTATTTCTTATTTCTCTTTATATTTTTATGCTGGTGATGATCTCCAGGTCAATGATGGCTAGAAGTTTAAGGGGTGTGAATTGTACATTTCTCCACTGAAAGTTATCTTCCATATAAGTTCGTATTAAATGGCCTTTATGAAATAGAAGTTTCCTGAGAGTCTAACTTGCATGGTTTTTTTCTCATTCATTCAATTAATATGGTGAATGATGTATTAACTTTTCTGACAATTTCTGGAATTTCTGATAAAGATGTATCTTCCTGTCATTTCAGGCTCATTCATATTTCACTAATGGATTTTTTTAACCTATGTCCATAAAGAAGATAGGCCTCTGATTTTCCTTTCTTGTACTATCCTTTTGTGATTTGGGCATCAAGATGATGCTGACTGGAGACATTCTGGAACACTCTATAATGCAACTTCCATAATCTCCAGAAAACCATGTGGCCTGGTGTTTTTTTGTGGGAAGGTTTTTTTTTTTTTTACCCCGAATTCAATTTCTTTCATAGTGATATGAACAGTCAAGCTTTTTATTTATTTTAAGTCAGCCTTACCATGTTGTCATTTTTTTTTTTCCTCAGAATTTGCCCATATTATAGTTTGGATCTGGCATTTATCCTAAAGGCCCATGTGTGGAAGGCTTGTTATGCCATTGGGTGGGGGATGGGACCTTTCAAAGGAAGTAGGGCCTATAGAGGAAGTTGAATCCTGATGGGACCTGTCCTTGGGGGTGACACTGGAACCCTGGTCCCTTCCTGTCTCTCTCTGCCTCCAAGCCACCATGAGGGTGAACAAACCTCCTCTACCACACGCTCCCACCAAGTGCTGTCACGTGGTTCAAAGCATGGGGCCATGTGACCTCTGAAACTATAAGCCAAAATAAGGCTTCCCACTTTTCTAAATTGATTATCTCAGGTGTTTTGTCACTGACTGACACTAGTGATTTACACTTGTGAACTAGTGTCATAAAAGAAAAAAAACAGGGGCTGGGAAGGTGGCTCAGTGGTAGAGTGCTTGCCTTGCATGCATGAAGCCCTGGGTTCGATTCCTCAGCACCCCATAAGCAGAAAAAGACAAAAGTGGTGCTATGGCTCAAGCAGTAGAGCGCTAGCCTTGAGCTGAAGAGCTGAGGGACAGCGCCCAGGCCCAGAGTTCAGGTCCCATGACTGACAAAAAAAAAAAAAGAAAACATTCTTTTATGTGGCATAGGGGAAGATATCCAAAGTACATGCTAGGTAAAGATCTTAAGGGATGGATTCTACTACCATTTATGTAAAAAATAAGGCATTATTATAAAAATGAATATATGCACACACATGTGATGAGTGACTGCTCAAATGTGCATATACACAAATATTCAAGAAACTCATAAAACCAATTCATATGGTGGTAGACCATCAGCCAGTGAGCAAAAGCATCAGATACCAAATTCAAGTCCCAGCCTTGGACAAAAACTAACAACAACAACAAAAAGTTCTAAAAAAGGCACCTGACTGGCTGTGGAATAGGAGTAAAATATATGCTTTTAAAAACTATATGGTGGGCTGGGAAGGTGGCTCAGTGGTAGAGCGCTTGCCTTGCATGCCTGAGGCCCTGGGTTCGATTCCTCAGCACCACATAAGCAAAAGAAAAAAGCTGGAAGTGGCGCTGTGGCTCAAGTGGTAGAGTGCTAGCCTTGAGCTGAAGAGCTGAGGGACAGCGCCCAGGTCCAGAGTTCAGGCCCCACGACCGGACCCCAAAAAAATACAAAAACATAAAAACTATGTGGTATCTGTTGAAATACATTTTTCTAAAATAGTTCTATATTAACTTTTCACTGGGGGGAGAGGGGTGGTAGGTTCTAGAACCCAAGGCCTCACATATGCTGCGTAAGTGCTCTGGCTGAAATCCAACTCCAGTCTAAAAACTAATCTTGTCACGAGCTCAATTAAGCAAGATGGTTTCCTAATGGAAATGCCTATCTGCCACTAGAAAGGAAAGGAACTTGAGACATGAACCCAGTTCTAGTACGGTGATAGGATTAATTTAGCAAAAATGACTTCATTTGAAACTACTACAAAAACCTATGTGTAGAGTAGAATTTCCTATGGTTCCATGACTAAAAGCCTACCTTTTTCTATCTGAAGTCTTCCAGTAGATTGCATAAATCCAATGCCATTGTCTGCTACACACTGATAGAGTCCAGAATCTTCCATGCTGACTCTAGTGATTGTCAACCCATTTCCTGAACTCAGGTGCCGGGGGGAAGGGTGAACAGGCTGTGCGTTGTGAAACCAGGTGCGGTTGGGGGCTGGGTTCCCGTGAACATCGCAGGTGAAATGCACCGTGGCACCCATAGACACCTTCTGGTCCTGTAGTCCTTTAGAAATGGAAGCATTTTCTGAAAATAAAACACACACATTAAACTCGATCCCTAAAGACACTCTCTTAAAATTACACACAAAGCATATGAAATTTCTCTAGCAATAAATAAGTAGCTGAAGCCAAGTTGGATTCTTTATGTATAATCTTCTATCTGCTGTCGCATCCAAGAAAAATATTAGAAATATATTTTAATTTTCACTAATAGAATAAACCATGTTATTAAAAGTTACAAAGACCCTTTTTTTAGATTAATTCATTTACTTATTCCTTAGCTGTCCCTGTACACATGAATACAACTACATATACACAGTTTCCAATTCTCTGCTTCTCTTAATATTTACTTCAAGTGATTAGTTTTATAATAAAGTCACATTAGAAAATGGAACTTTATTCTGACTACTTGTGTAGTCCTGCTCCTTGTTTCATTTTTAATTCACAAATACCCTTTAAATATCAGTTAGAACCTGAAAATGGCCAGATTTTTAAATATTTATATTGAATAAGGAACGTCTTACCGAGAACATTAACCATGTAAGTGACATGTTTTCTGTCTCCAGACTTGCTGCCTACCACACAGGAATAGTTCCCAGAGTCTGCTGGGTCGATGCTAGCTGTGGCAAGATGAGAATGTAACCTTCTCCAGTTACTTCCCAGCATAACATTCTCCCCATCCTTCAGCCAGGACACTTGCGAAGCCGGGACCCCGCTCACCACACACTCCAGGGTTACAGGGCTATGAGAAAGAACAGCTAATGTCTGTGGAAAGGCGGGGTGAAGAATCTGGAAACCGTCTGAGGAAGGGTCTGGAAAAGGAAAGAAACATCAGATATTATTAGTGAGGATTCACTTGCAGTCTCTTCCTTTCCAGATCCATAAGCATTCTCAAATAACGAAGTTCTATTTGGTAGCCAAACCACTTGTGCTAAGGCTCAAAATTTAAAGATTTTTGTGGATCCTTTGGGTTCCTTCTGAATTAGCTCTTTGGATCTGTAGAGCTTCCCATAAGATTAGAAAGCACCCCATAATTGTGCTCTGACTACTGGTACCTTCAAATTAAACAGCCATGATCTAAAGTCAGTCTTGCTTTTTAGTAATATCTAATTCACATCCAACCACCAATTTGATTAATATTCCATAACACAGAACATTATATTGTAATTACATATTATAATTATGTGTTATTACATTAGATTAGATGCATTTACTTTTTTGTAAGGCTTTCTGATGACAAAACAATGGGATCTGGAAAAGAAAAGCGAATTCCCTGTCCCACGCTCTTATGATTAATACAATGGAGGACTTTCCTCTGCTAGTCACCACCGCTCTCCCAAATACTTACGACTCACAAGGAGCTTTTGGCCAATGGGTTCAACTTTTAATTCATGAGTGACAGGGTTATAAGCAGCACACTTGTAGGGTCCCTGGTCCTCTGAGGAGACATTCAAAATCTGAAGATTTCCTGATGGAAGAATGATGTAGTTTCCTGGGGAAGGCACAGGCAGACAGTCAAGCCTCTCCTTTTCTGATGACCATAACACAACTAAAACTAGCGTAAGCTCATGGTTATACTTCTGATTTGTGCATAAGACTAGCAGCAAATAAGCAATCAAGGAAACTTCACTAATTGGAGGGAAAGGAAAGTCAAGGCAGAGAAGAAAAATGAACAGTATAAGCATCACGACTGTAACAAAATCAAAACCATCTAAAACATTTTAGCAGACAATGACTGTGAAAGCACAAGAAAAATGTCTAAACCTCAGTTATCACTTGGACAAAATTCTACCTATAGAACTGATCATCTGGCATTTGTTCATTGTCTATTCATTCATGGGCTTTTTTTTCCCACAATAAATACACACTGCCAATCATGGTTTGGATATACACAGCAATGCAGAAAGAAGACAAAAGCTTATAGTTAACATTTATTCTAGTAGGGTCTTATGGGTGGCAAAGATAAAGTATGTGTGTATGCATGTGAGCTCCAGTGAGCTCATGGCCTGGTTACTGTCCTTAGCTTTTTTGCTTAAGGCTGGCCACTCTGCCAGTTTGGGTTTCTTGGAGATAGAAGTTAATTTTTGGTTAATTCGAGACATGAGTCTCATGGACTTTCCTGCTCAGGCTGGCTTTGAACTGTGATCCTAATATCTCAGCCCCCTGAGCAGCTAGGATTACAGGCAAGCACCACTGGCATCTGGCTAAAAAAAGGTAAAGTACATATATCAGGTGTGATATATCTATGAAGAGAAACCAAGCTAAATAAAAAGACAGAAGTGACAAGATGTATTATTTCTACAGTGCCCTGTAACCAGTCTTCTCTGAGGAAGGGAGTTGGTGAATGTGGGCCTAAATGATTGAGAGAGCAGGTCCTTGGGGTATTGGGAGTGTAAGCATCTAAATAACCACATGCTTTAGTTTCCTCCCTTGACTTGTGAGAGTACAGACACTATATTTTATGTAGTTCTGTATGCGAGTTCCGTAGTATGCATAGAGCCTATTAGCAGGTTTTGCTGGTGAGCTATTGGCTTTTCACAAAAATACTTACCTGTGGAATGTTTCAGCCATTTTCCCCGGATCTTATAGCGTACCTCAGCTTTGGGGTTACTCTCTGGCACCTGGCAGCCAATGAAACCTGTGCTTCTTTCTTCTGCTCTAATAGCAGGCTTTGCTGATGAATCAAAATCACCAAGAACTGAAACAAATAAGTAAATAGGTAGATGAATGAGAATGAATGAATGCAAAACTGAATTCTCTTTCCCAAAGGCAATTTAAAGTTTAGAAACATCTGCAGCATAGCCCTTTAGGGGAGTTAATTAACCCCAGTCCTGTAGGGAGCATACTTTTTTGTTTGTTTGTTTCCTTTCGTTTTTGGTTATTGACACAAAGCCTCTCTTTGTAGTCCAGGCTGGTCTTGACCTCATGACCCCACCGTCTCATTCCCCCCACCATTACAAATGCTGATATAACAGCTGTGAATTATTGCACCCCTCAATGAGATCTTTTTATTGAGACAGCAGTTGGAGCAGAGGTACATGCCTGAGAAATAACAGTGAAGTTATGGCACCCTATTTTTAGGAGTCACAGCTTTCAAGGGACTACTGGGAAAAAAAAAAAAAAAGCTGCTCCTAAAACACTCAGGAGAACCATAGAGCATAATTATTCCCATTCTGTCAAGATAAATCCTCTTCCATGCAAGCCTTCAACAAAATGCACTTTTCCTCCTTGTAAATACCCGTAAGACAATAAAATAACTTATGGAAATGAACCTAGGGCATGAGAAAACAAAGCAGAATATCACCTGAGTTATCTGCATCTACTAACTCAGTCTTGATTCCTTTCCCTTTAAAGTCACTGCAGATAGAGCATGCCTGGAAGGGCTCTTTCTCATCTCCGATGTCCTAGGAATTCAGCAGCCTGCCACTAGGAATGCAGCCTTCCAGTGTGTGTCTTGGAGCTGTGCATGGGTCACAGCTCTACAAAAACATTTACTCTTCTCAGTTATGACAAACTCACTACTCCTGGGGAATCCAGATTTGTTCTGTAAATAGGGGTGCCCCTACAAAGACGTTTTCCATTACTGGAAACCATCACCATTTGAAAGGCAGATGGCTCAGACTTCCTAAGAAAAGCCACACATTCCAGATTTTCTGTAAGTTTAATACTCCGCATTCCTCTCTTTACAGTCAGTTATATTTTCTTTCCTGTTTCTTTAGCGTGGTTTCAATTACATAAATTAAAATCACTCAGTAATCAAGGCAAATAAAACAATTATATGTGGAAGAAAGATAAATGACTGCATGAAATAATCAAGTGTCCAAAAAAAGACAGCAACCTTTTTTGTTATTATTGATATGGAGAATTTTAGACTCACAAAGAAATTGCCCACAATTCACATTAGAAAACTATCTTGTGTAACTTGTTGTTTGGGATTTTTTTTTCTTTTATTTTGGAGTTGAAAAATTCACCCCTCTGCCACCTTCTGATTCTTCCCTACCCTCTTCCTCACTTTTCCCAACTAACTATTTTTGAAAAATTGTATTATTATAAAGGTGAGGCACAGGTTTACAGCTTGTCTTGTATCACTTAAAAATATTCTATAGTTTTGTGATCGATGAAGACGTTGGGCTAGAATACAGAGGTTTCAAAGAGGAGAGGATAGAATAAGAACTCTTAAATTTCTCTTCACATCTCACACACTATTTTCTCACACTACATTTTCCCCACCGTTCAAACATGCAAGGACATAGTCATTCAAACACAGTCATTCAAAAAAAAAAAATCCCACAGACCAAGGACCAAACTAAACTCACCTGCAGTGGACACAGTTGCAGGGCTGCTCACAATTGCCCCGGCGCTAGTGTTGGCGATACACTGGTAGTAGCCCGAGAGGGAGGGGCTAAGAGAAAGAATGGTCAAAGTCCCCCGATGGATATTAATGTATTCCATGTTTCTATCCACTCTTCTCCCATTATGTAGCCATGAGATGTGAGCAGTCACGGGTTTAGCAGAACAGTGTAGTACGACAGGTCTGCCAAGCTTCTGGACAGCAGAGAGCGGCTCAGAAAGGAAATAAGGTGCCAGGTCTATAAAGAAATAATAATTCGAGACCAGAAGGGGAGGGAAGAAGAGAGAGAAAGAAAAGTACACTAAATATATCTCATCTGAATCTTGATAACAAAGGCAATCTCATAGAGGCAGATGTGGTAGTTCTCGATATTTACAAAACTTAATAGAAAATTCTTTTTTTTTTTTTTTCGGCGATCGTGGGGGCTGAACTCTGGGCTTGGGCACTGTCCCTCTGCTCTTCAGCCCAAGGCTGGCACCTTACCACTTGAGCCGCAGTGCCACTTCCAGCTTTTTTCTGCTTATGTGGTGCTGAGGAATCAAACCCAGGGCCTCATGCATGCGAGCACCCTATCACTGAGCCAATTTCCCAGCCCTCATGCAAAGTTCTTATAAGCTGATCTTTTTGAAGAAAATGTTAGTCTAGGACTTATCAATAAAGGTAGATTAGACAAGAAATAATACCAATTTATTAACGAGGAATAGCAAACTGCTTTTTTGATGTAGCTTTTTTGAAGTAGCTTATTACAAAAATGAAAGTTAAGCTGGGTACTAGTGGCTCATACCTATAATCATATTCAGGAGGCTATGATCTGAGAATCAAGGTTTGAAGCCAGCCCAGGAAGACAAATTTGAGAGACTCTTATCTCCAATTAACCAGCAAAAAATCCAGAAGTGGCTGTGTCTCAAGTAATAACTCACCAGCCTTGTGTAAAAAAGCCTAGTGAGAGCACAAGGCCCTGAGTTCAAGCTCCAAAACACATACACACACACCACACACACACACACACACACACACACACACACACACACACACAGAAGCTAAAACCCTGAAAAAGGCAAAGCTGACTTTAAAAATAATAAGACTTGGGCTGAGGCTCTGGGTTCAATTCCTTAGCACCACATAAGCAAAAAGAAAAAAGCCGGAAGTGGCACTGTGGCTCAAGTGGTAAAGTGCTAGTCTTGAGCTGAAGAGCTGAGGGACAGCGCCCAGGCCCAGAGTTCAGGCCCCACGACTGGAACTTCCCCCCCAAAAAATAGTAATAATAATAGGACTTCTCTCTTTGTTTACCAGTAGGATTTGGTATAAGACTTTTTCACTTCATTATTTTACCATAAAATAATTTTATGAACAATAAATTTTACTAAACTACATATACACATATATCCATACACATTACATAGGGATGGAAAGGCCTGCTAAGGCTCAAAGCACTAAGAAAAGATCCTTAAGTTAATTAATTTAAAAAATCATGTAGCAAATCTTACAAACACCATCAGAAACTGCTATTGTTAGCAAAAGATGGAAGTCAAAATTTGTCTTATATAGGGTAAACATGAGGAAAGGCTTCATACAATACCCCCACCATTCAGGTTCTCCTCTTACCTGAACTGACAGAAGAACACAGAATTGCAAGAGTAACATATAGCAGTATTGGTAAGGGTCCAAGGTCAGGATGCATAGCGCCCAATTCCAGAAGCAGGTGGGGCAGACGTCCAGAGGAAACCCAGGCCTTGGCTCACTAGAATACATTGTAGAAAGGGAAGAAAAAAAAAGAGAGAAAGAAAATCTAAATCATATAAGTTATTGAAATCTTTACTCTGAACAACTACAGAGTTGTAAGCAAGATGGCTGTCCTCTATTTTAATGGCTCTGTATACAGTATGTCAAATCATAGGCATGTGATGATCCATGCTTTCCCAGTTTGCACATGGATCGATAGCACTAAGTTAGAGTTAGCTTTCCTCCTGCTCCTAAGTACTAGAATACCTTTTGCTTCAGAGAGATAATCATTCCAAAAGAAAACACTCAAAGGCCTGTAGTGCATTTCTAGTTACATACCTCATCAGCATCTAAACTCAACAAAACTTCCTTCTCTATATCCCCCAAAGAGCAACATGACCAACAAAATCACACCTAGCATTTACAAAGTACCAGAACCCAGTGCAGTGTTTCTCATACACCAAACTTCACAAGAACCTTTTATTCAGTTGGGAAACTCAGGCCATGGGGGGAGGGAGGGAGAGGAGTGTAGTTGAGGAAGTGGGAGGAACAGGATGGTAGGGGAAAAACAAAGGAGGAGGCAACAATACCTGATAAGAAATGTACTCATCACCTTGCTCATGTAACTGTAACCCCTCTGTACAGTGTTTTCACAATAAAAAAAAATTTTAAAAAAGAAAGAATATTAGGTGCAGACCTGTGTTGTGATTAAACTTGGCCCACAATGGTGAGAAGGAGTTGGGGCAGGAAGAGAGTGGAAAGAGATAAAGGCAGACAGGAAAGCGGGGTCAGATCAGCAGATGTGTAGCAAAATAATTTAGTCATACAACAAGTATTTTCCTGAATATTTGTTATTTTTATTGCATAGATTAATAAATAAATAATAAATAAAAGCAGCACAGACAAAAGTATATGCCTTATATTCTAGTGGGAGAGATGGACACTAAACAAGATAAATAAATAGAATTAGTAAAATTATATCCATGTATCTTCAAATATGATTAATTTCTTTCTTATCTGTGCTCTTGATGACATCCCATTCAATACTGTAAGTTCTTATGATGAGAAGAGAAGAAGCACCCCATAAAAGTTTCTTCTTCTTTTTTTTTGGGGGGTCCGTTCCTGGGGCCTGAACTCTGGGCCTGGGCGCTGTCCCTCAGAGCTCTTCAGCTCAAGGCTAGAGCTCTACCACTTGAGCTATAGCACCACTTCCGGCTTTTTTTCTTTTTGCTTATGTGGAGCTGAGGAATCGAACCCAGGGCCTCAGGCATGCAAGGCAAGCGCTCTACCACTGAGCCACCTTCCCAGCCCACACCCCATAAAAGTTTCTTAAAATGAAAGCAATACCTTAACACAGGTAATTCCCAATTGCACTTTGAAAAGTTGTATGCCATCCAACTCATCTAAACTTAGCATATTGTAGCTATCCTTTTTATTCCTGCATTTACTTATTCATATATATAATTTTAAAAGCCAACCAAAGTACATTAAGTACCTCCATACATCAAGCACCGTGCTAAATAAGTTTGGTTATTTTATCTGCATAGTCTACCATTGCTCAGCCAGGATGGCTATGGAACGTATCACTATGAAATATAACCAAATCTGATGAGCATACTACATAAATGACATTTTGAAAGGAAGAATTCTACATGCATAGTAATTTGTGCAAAGAAAGTTTTTAGACTGTGTAGTAATTCAAAGCAAGGCACCCTTGCAACACAGTATTTAGTAAGTCAAACCATTTTCTTTCTATTCCAGGTATTCCAGTGTTTAGGAGTTGAAAGTTCAAGTTTATATAGGTCATTGATATTCAGCCTATGGACTTCCCATTTTTCCTTGCTCATCTACTTGAAAAAGTGGAGAGGAGAAAGGCCATAGTGGCATGACCCACTCATCAGCAGAAGGGTGCAGCTGAGTGAAAACTCTTCTAGTTTATTTGAATTCTCACTTGGTTCAAGGGTAAGAACCACTAGTAAGCAGTCAAGGCCAAGTAAACATTCACATAACTTGTTAACAGGAGACACTTTCTGGAGACAACAAGGACAAAGTGGATTATATCTTCTCTGTGCCAAATCTTTCTCCAGTTATTTGTTTGTTAAAAAAAACAGTGAAACCATTTTCAGAGTAATCTTTAACCCTGCACATGGTCTGTTTTACAGCTGACTTTTAATGATGCACAGTTCATTACTGCTACCTAAAAGCTAATACACAGGAATGCTCTTTATTACCAAATCTTCCTTTTGGGTTACTCTTTTTTTTTTTTTTTGGTCTGTCATGGGGTTTGAACTCAGGGCCTGGGCACTCTCTCTGAGCTTCTCTGGCTCAAGGCTAGTGCTCTAACACTTGAGCCACAGCCCTACTTCATGCTTTTTTTCTGTTTATGGCATACTAAGGAATCGAACCCAGGGCTTCATGCATGCTAGGCAAGCACTCTACCACTGAGCCACATTCCCAGCCCCATTTTGGCTTACTCTTTTTTTTTAATTTAATTTAATTTTATTTGTGAAGATACTGTACAGAGGGGTTACAATTACATGGGCAGGATAATGCGTACATTTCTTACCAAGCATTGCAGCCTCCTTCTTTGTTTACCCTTCACATCCCTTCCCAGCCTCCCCCCTCCCCCCCAATCCCAACCCTTCTCCTTCCCCCCTCTGCCCCCCCCCACCGCACCAACTTGTAAAGCTCGTTTTGGACATGACAACTTGTACTTCTCATTGTTGCAACAGGTCCACCTGTATCCTTAAACAACTGGTTTTTCCCCATCTCCTCCACAAGTTATACTGACATCAAATATAGTGAAAGCAGGGGTTATACTGTGGGGGAGGGACATACAAAGCAACAAAGAGATAATCTTCCATTTTGGCTTACTCTTAAACAATCTCCATTGATCTGAGAAACTAGAAAATACCTATAAACATTTGAGACATTTTACTGAGTTCTTGTTGAGTTGGCTTATATTTTTCCATGGTACACTTGCTCAGTTTCTAAAAAAAATTATGACAAAAAGAACACAGAGTTATATTTTGTTATTTACAGCCACCCACATAACAATGATTGTCACTGATCACACAGAAAGTAAGGGATGTACAAACCAGAGTAGAGCTACTCCAAAATAATTCAATATCATGTCATTTTCAAAAGTATTACATCTTTCCAACATCAAAAACTTTGATGTTAATATTATTGCTTTAATAGTAAGTTATCAGAAAAAAAATCACATATACCTCAGCATGCTTACATGCACACACACACACACACACACACACACACATTCTACTTCATTGCTCAGGCAAATGCATAGTTTGGCCAAGTTTAACATAACTAAACAAGACTCCTGTCATCCTTAAGACATGTAAGTGGTCATGTATGTCATCTTGGTCACCTGCAGAAATTTACCTTGAGGAAACCACACCCCTCACTGCCTCACATACTTGTTAGCCTCCTCCTCTCACCTCCTCTGATTTGTGTGTCACATTCTGCGTAGTCAGTTTATCTGTCCATATCAAGTCATATGCTTCACTAATGAGCTTGAACCCACTCTTCTGATCTGGAAAATGTCCTTAGTAAGAGCACACCAGCCCACTCCACCACCAGTCACTCCAGCACATTGCTTGCCAGAATTCATCTGACTTCTGCTCTAGCATGCAAAGCATCTGAATACTTCATTGTAAAAATTAAAAACAGAATCTTGACTTATATCAGATGGAACAGAATTCTGATTGGAATCACATAGCCATTTTTTTAGACTGTTGTGTTTATCTTATTCAGAACTTTTTCAAAAACATCCCCTGTGAACATAATGGTGACTATTATATTAAGCAAACTATTTTCCCCACCTGTTTGACAATGATTATGTTACGTGTATAAATAGGAAACTTAACAGAAAGCAACTATTCATTGATTATTTAAAATTTTCACATATTTATTGTGGAATATGTGGGAAAATACACTAATGCATAAAGTGGAAGTGAACAGAACAATCTCACCACCTGCAAGCAACTGATCATATTTTGATGCACCTCCTTCTAATCTATTTCACATATGTCTATGTTTACATAACTCCTAGTACATGTGACTTTTCAGTTTTTTTATATCGTACAATCTAGTGATAATTTTTCCTTTTTAAAATCCTCCATGGACATTATTTGTAACAGCTACATATTAAATGGATGTATTTGGGGCTGGGAAGATGGCTCAGTGGTAGAGCGCGTGCCTTGCATGCCTGAGGCCTTGGGTTCGATTCCTCAGCACCACATAAGCAAAAAGAAAAAAGCCGGAAGTGGCGCTGTGGCTCAAGTGGTACAGCGCTAGCCTTGAGCTGAAGAGATGAGGGACAGCGCCCATGCCCAGAGTTCAGGCCCCACAACCGGACCCAAAAAAAAAGGATGTATTTTAGTCTACCTAACCATTCCCTTTCAGGTAGTTAAGCTATTTTTTAACATGTCTGTATAGACAGACAGGTAGATAGACAGACAGACAGACAGATAGATATAGTTGTTTGTTCTTTTTTTTCTATTACAAATAATGCTGCCATGAATACTACTGTCCATACATCTTTCTTTAGAGGGCTGGTATTGGGGCTTGAACCCAGGGCTTATGTAAGGCTTGGCTTTCTCCCTCAAGGCTGACACTCTACCATTTATATTTTATCTCTGTTTCTGACTTTTGTTGGTTAAATGATGATGTCTTTCAGATTTGTCTTCCTGTGATTCTCAGATCTCAGCCTCTTGAGTAGCTAGGATTATGGGTGTGGGCCACCAGAACACAACAAAGTATCTTTAAGACTCTTAATACAAATTGTCAAGGCCACCGTCCACAACCCAGCCATCAACAATCACTATCAGTACATGAGGGTAAGTCTCTTGATCAGTACATGGCATAGATCTTTACACTGTGTGAGCAAAGTGTTGACACAAAATATGACAGAATTAATTCACATGCTTAAATAACTCAAATGCTTGACAAGGTCTGATACAACTGTCACTGTCTAAAGGTATTAGAGATTTTTCTCAA